ACTATTTGGTTGTCCTCCCAATCTCTCCAACCTTCATGTTTTTGGGTGCTTATATTATGTATATCTTCCCTCTTAGGAACGTTATAAACTCTTAGCTCTGTCAGTTATGAGTGCCTTTGTGGGGTATAGTCCCAACCACAAAGGATTTCTTTGCTACAATCCTTCTATGCATCGCCTCCGTATTTCTCGGAATGTCATTTTTCTTGAGCATATTTCCTTTTTTTCAAGAGTAACCAAGTTATTTGCACCTTCTGTTTCTGTTTTGTATAACTTTGATTCACAGGATGCCCCACCTTCAACAGCAGTGAAGAATCTTCTCGTCCTCTCTCGCAAGTGAGTTTGTGATTCAGCACCTACACCTACGAACCCCCCTTCCTCCCCGTCCACATCCTCAGCCCGCAACCGATAACCCCGTAAGTGATACCTCTGTTTCAAATTCTTTTATTGTTAGGGATGAGCATTTGGTTTATTCAGTTAAAAAGCAAACTAAAAAATAAAAATCGAAACTGAAATTTTCAGTTATTTTGGTTAAAACCGAATTTTAATAATATATACTTTGTTATATATACTATAACATATAATATATTATATATTATGAAATCAAATTTCATTTTATTATATATTAATGTATAAATATATAATATATTATATATTATATATAATAATAGAAAGTTCGGTTAATTTGGTTAACCGAATTTCTAATTCTAAAACCCAAAACTGAAAACCAAATTAGTCGAACCGATTTAACCAAATAAATGAAAAAATCGAAACCAAAATTTTCGGTTTTAACCGAATAGTGCTCGCCCCTATCTATTGTTCCATCTATTCCTTTGCAACATTCTACTCGTGTTTCTAGACCACCCGATCGCTATCTTCAAATCAAAAAACCTTACATGAGAATGACACTTGGGACCTTATCCCAGTTCTTTCTAATGGCTCTCTTATTGGGAGCAAGTGGGTTTATTCTATCAAGTTGAAATCCGATGGCTCCTTAGATCGATACAAAGCCCGTCTTACGGCTCAGGGTTATACACAAGAGTATGGCTTGATTATGAGGAAACATTTGCTCCGGTTGCCAAGATCACTACAATTCATGTTCTTTTATCCCTCTCTGTGGTGCACTCTTGGCCTATCATTTAGATGTGAAAAATGCCTTTCTACACGGGCATTTAAAGGAAACAGTGTACATGAAATCCCCTCTGGGGTACTGTAGTGATCCATCTCTTGTTTGTCACTTGAAGAAATCTCTCTATGGGCTGAAGTAGGCCTCTCAGGCATGGTTTGAGAAATTCATAGATGTCGTTGTGGATGTTGGGTATAATCAAAGTGATTCTAATCATTCTCTCTTTGTTCGGAAAAGGCCTCAGGGTATTACAGTTCTCCTCTTGTATGTGGATGGCACGTTGTTGACTAGAGATGGTATAGAAGGAATTCAAGACCTCAAGTCTCTTCTTCACAAATCCTTTCACATGAAAGACTTGGGTTCTCTCACCTATTTCTTAAGACTTGAAGTCCAAAGAAATCATAGGGAATATTTCATTTGCCTACACAAATATGCTTCGGATCTTGTCAAGTTGGCCGGCCTTACTGATAATAAGCAAGGTTGATACTCCCTTGGAGCTGAATGTTAAATTATCCAAATCAGAAGGTCCCTTAATCACTGATGCCTCCATCTATTGTCAACTTATGGGGTCCCTTATCTATCTTACTATGACTCGACTTGACATCTCTCATGCGGTTCAGGTTGTCAGTCAGATTTCAGGTTGTCAGTAAGTTTGTCTCTACTCCAAGTCAACCCCATCTGGTTGTTGTACATCGGCTTATCCATTATGTTTGTGGCTCTTTATCACAAGGACTATTCTTTTCCTCATCTTTTCCTATCCATTTGAGGGCTATGCTGATGCTGATTGGGCAAGCTATCTCGAAACTCGTTGCTCCACTACTAGGTGGTGTGTTTTCATGGGTGATTCTCTTCATCTCATGGAAATGCAAAAAACAACAAACTGTCTCCCAGTCCTCCACAGAAGCTAAATACAGGGCAATGTCGTCAGTGTGCAATGAAATTGCTTGGCTTAAATCACTACTTAAAGACCTTGGTGATGTGGGCGCCGGCAGCAGCAGCAGTAATTTAGTGCAGCAGCAGCAGTAATTTAGTGTTCTCAGCAGCAGCAATTTAGTGTTCTCATCCTATCTTATCTATTCAGTATTCTTACCTTATCTGCTTTCAGTAGCAGGGATTAGTAGGAGTCTTATCTATTCAGTATTCTTATCTTATCAGTTCAGTAGTATGGATTAGTAGGGAGTCTTATCTTATCTTATCAGTTCAGTAGGATAGATTAAGGGAGTCTTATCTTATCTTATCTTATCAGTTCAGTAGGATAGATTAAGGAAATCTTATCTTATCTTATCATTTCAGTCTTATCTTATCAATTTAATAGGATAGAGTAATAGATTAGCAAGGAGTCCTCCTAAAAGTAGGATTCTACCTCTTGTAATCTCCTATTTAAGGAGCTGATATTATTCAATAAAGGTATCGAAAATTTCAGGCAAGAAAGAGAGCAAAGGAGAGTTGGTGATCTCTTGAACAAATCACCTTTAGGGCGGCAAGATAGGTTCTTCAAGGAAAGGGAGGAACAAGGGAAAACAAGAGGTTTTCCCCGTGGACCGACCCGTGACGAGATCCTATTCGCGGGCCCATAACACTTGGTCATCCTATCTCTACACATATCCCTCTGCATGTACACAACAACCGTGCTATAAAGATTCTTGCTACCTCTATCTCTCTTCTCATGTGGCCTCAAAAAATATAGATTGTTGACATAGTCACCAAGGCCATGACGAGATCCATGCATCTATTTCTTATGGGCAAACTGATGCTAATGCACTCACATCAATTTGAGGGGGAGTGCAAAGAATCCTGATGTTGCACCTTATTACTATAGTCCTTGTTGTACACTATCTTGTAAATTCTCTCTCTTATTTTCTCTTCTTTGCCCCACAAGAGCCTTTCTATAAATATACATATTTCATATAAATATATTCTGACTCTCTAGGGTGGGATCGATTGATTCTGTTTTCACCCTAAACTTGTTGAGCTCTCTTGTATGAACTGACTGTGTGACAAGAAGTTGGGTTTATATGTTTTAGGAGGGGAAGATAACACAAGAAAATCGTTTCAGGAATTAGAACTGAAGTACCCGATGAATAATGAAAGTTCTATCACAGATTGGTGAATGATAGAGGGTTTTGTTTTACAGTTGTGTTCTATTGGGTTTAGGAGTCTTTTGGTTGGTTGAGGGGAGTGTGCAATGGAAACAAGTGGTGGGTTGGGTATTTTTGTCTTTTTTGTTCCTCATTATCTCTTTTCTTATTCAATAAAATTCCTTTTTTACTTATTACAAAAAAAAAAGACTTAATGATCTGGCTTTATAAAATTGTTAAAGCTAAAACTACTTACCAAGAAATTCAAATTTATTTAGCCAAGGGGAGGGAGAAGGAGGAATCAGCAGGATTTCACTGCCCTCCTTTATCATTCCATTGACCTGAAATCTTGTATTTAGTAGAGCAAGAATACACAACATGACCCCTCTTTAGGCCCCACCACTTCAACATTTTGATCAAGCATGTTTATAAGAAACCAGGAGTAACATATCATACACAATAGCAGAAAGGAAAGTAAGACAGCAACATAGATTTGGACTATCAAGGAAGAAAGGAATGCAAGATTTTTTTAGAGGAGAGAAGTAAGGAAGCTGTGAAGGAAAATGTGGTGGAAATAAGCTCTTCTAAAGAGGAAAGGGCAAATTAAGTGTGGATGCCTCGTGAAGGATACATGAAATTGAACTTTGATGGGAATAGTCAAGGCAACCTAGGTACCTCTGGAATAGGAGGGTTCTGACTTCTGAGAGATAACAAAGGACATGTCATTGTGTTGTTCTCGGATCCAATGGAAGTGCAGGACTCTATTAGAGCTGAACGGCTTGCTGCAATACAAGGAATATAGACTGCGAATGAACTGAATCTGGAAAATTTGATGATTGAAGGTGACTCAAAGCTGGTGGTGGGATGGCTGAAGAAACCGGAGTTTATAATTTTGGAGTTACAGGGATGAAATTAACAAGTTAATTTTTTTTTTTTTTGAAAGGTAAAATGGTTAACAAGAAACATGACTTTGATGATACAATGGGGGAGGAGGTAAGCTAATGGAGTGGCTGAAACAATACCTAAGCAAGGAGTGAATAAGGATCAATTGTATTGGGCTCACTTGTAATTCATACTTTCTTATTATGATGGGAGAGGTCGCATCCCATGCCTCTAAGTGATGCTTGTGTTGTTTGAATTTATTGAATTCTATTAATAAAATTTCACTACTTATCCAAAAAAAAAAATTACATCAAAAAGCTTCTTCTAAAAATCTTGCTAAAAAGAAATGTTCAGCATGATAAATTTTAAAACAGCAAGGAAAGCCAGACAATAGTTTCTAAGTGAATGTATAAAAAAAAAACGAAATTCTAGGGCTGCCAATGGGTTGGGTCTGGGTCAGGTCCAGGTAGAACTAGAACCGACCTGACAAGAAACACTAAGAACCCAGAACCGAACCAGACCCGATAGGATCTGTAATTTTAGACCCAGAACCGAACCAATCGGTTCTGGGGACAATTGGGTCCTGACCCAATGGACCCAATTATAATAAACCTGTTGAAAATATTATATATATATATATATATTATTAATTTATGTCATATATTATACATTTAATATATAATATAGCTCAGGTCGGGTCTGAATCGGTTCAGAACTGGGTAGAAGCGGTTCCAAACCAATAATAATCGGGACAATATATCAGGACCAAACCAATCGGTTTGGGTCCACCAAGTCGGACCCAACCTATTGACAGCCCTAAACATTTCTAATAGATAGATCATAAATAAGTTTCTGTTTCAAAGATCAAGAATCTAAAGCAGGATGTGAATAACAAAAATATGCCACTAAATGGATACCTTTTCATCCTTCAGAAGACTTCGCAGAATCACATCCAAAAGAGGTTGGGAAACTTTCTCCTCCAAAATAAGTGTCATTATAGATAACATAGCTTCAGATACACTCTGTTGATGATGTTCTCTGTACAACAATTATTCAACCATTACTAACATTGGCTAAAGGATACTTTGTCAAAAGCCTAAATAAAAATTAAAAAACAGCTGCACAGGGTTGTAAACAAGAGGGCTTCTCCTTCAAACAAATGGTTAGAATCCCACTCATAAAAGGGTGAATAAATTTTAACTCAGACTCTCCTTTAACCAGCTGGGGACCAGCAGTGTAAGAAAAATTAACAATGGCAGAGTAGGGATAAAGCTTTGATGATGATGATCTTTAAAACAAAAGTCAAATCTAATTTAGTTTCCTAATTAAAATTAAAAAAACAGCACAAAGACTTTCAATGCATTATATTGGTGTAGGTCCCATTCTTTTAAATAAAGCATGCTGTTAATTACAAATCAAGCCTAATTTGGTCTCCTAAATCAAATAAAAAAACAGCATAAATTTACCGCATGGATTATGGGTCCCAAACAAAATATGTAGGTATAGCTGCTCTGTACTGAGCACAGGGTGGTTATCAACTAGTACAGTACAAATGCTAATGCTTGGGCGACAGGCCCTAAGCTCTCTTTTCTCACCAATTTCTCTCATTCTATGTTTCTCCCATCTCTCTTTCTCTCTTCTTTCTCTTTTCTTATCACATTTGAACTAATTCAATAGAAAAAAAAAATTGAAGAATAAGATAAAAATTCACTAGAAAAAAGAAAATAGAATACAATAGGAAGGTGATAAGAGTCAATAAGACATCACCCAAAGAGGAAAAAACCCAAAGAAACCATCAAAGATCTCAAGAGTTCCATACGAAAACCCATGGAGATCCACTCCTGACGACAAAACAGTAGACTTTCTAGAGTCCTGCCTGCTCCCATCTGAAACTTCGGACACAGCTGAGTTGCAAAAAACCTCGGCACCTCTGCCGCCCAGAGTACAACTATCAAGTTCTTTATTCGCTAAATTAGTTGGGCTGCTCGCATATGATTCATGCCTATTTCACCAATGAGACTCTTCTTGCCGCTTGTCATATTTGGCGGTCACCCAAATCCACATTTCTCTCTTACTTTTTCTGCTCTCATTCGGAGCACTTCTCATCATTGACCCAATTCTCTTAATCTTTGGTCTGTGAATATCTAAGGCCTTTCTCCTGTAATCTTTTAACTTTCTCCTCTGATTTTTCTTCTTTCCCTTAACCATTTCACCATTACGATCCTCATCTTCATCTGGAACTGCATTTGTCCATGACGCAAGTTTCAAACTGATCCCCTGGACAGTGTAGGCGATGATAGACAAGGCAACCCGTCTCCCATCAAGCCGCTGATAGGCCCTTCCCCTCGAGTCACATGACTACTCAAGTAATCACATTACCTACTATTGCTGACCTGACCAGGACCTGCATCCAGTCCCGATTTTTTAGCTCAAACCGGTTCTGGCCATCTTCCAGAATACTTAAAACTATGTGGTCCAGAAACTTTTGGTGACGTGGCACTGGCGCATTGCCCATAATAGCCTCAACATAAGACTTTTCGCCTAAATTAAATTTGAACTGCAGACTTTATTAGGCATTTCCTTCCTGTCAGGCCCGTGTGCAATCGCTACAACTTCCTTCTAACTTCGGTCAATAGTCTTTGAACCATTGTCTGTCATATCCCCTCCACGTAACCCATACCTCTAGCAAGTCATTGTCTTCAACCTTAGAGCATTTCACCCATAGACACATTTTGGCTTCCAACAAAACCCAGACCTTCAACCAGAGGTCATCTGCAAGCAGACTAATGCATCTAGGAACGTCTTCAGGCTTCAATCCTGCAATTCTGAGTCTCGCAGCGTGCAGATCTTGAAAATTATAAGCAATCAACGCTCCACCCAGAATCTGTATCAATCTTTCAATGGTTTCCATGTTCCAAAGATTAAAGGGGAGACCCACGAGCTTAATCTCAAGATTTTCTACAGAGATGGGTATCTGATTACAGGATATATGTCAGACCTCCGCATTTACCAAGCCATCTGGAGAGTCCACAATTTCAGTAGTGGGAATCTCAACATCTTCGTCAAGCCCAAATAACACAGCCTTCAAATCATTGAAGGGCTTGACACTCACATGGCCCTTTAGTCTAAAGCTCTCCACAATCGCCTCCAAGATCCTTCGCCAATCAGTAATTCTTTTGTCGGATGATAAAATCACATTTTTCTCCCAGGCTCCTTTCTCCAATAACATCCTCTGATTTCTGATATTGTTACAGACGATAGCTTTTGGGATTCCTTTTTTTTATTTTTCCTCCTTCAGCTGTTTCCTGAAGCTTTGCTCGTCAGAGACCACTGGAACGTTGCAAATTATTGGAGTTTGTCTTTCTTCCAGAATGAACAAGAACTCCTGCAACAAATCTGCAAACAGGCGCCACCATGTTCTCTTTCTTCCCTCCAGTACACACAAAACTGTCTTCTGTTATCACCAAATGTTTCCACAACCGCCACAAACCAACCTTTCACATTCCTCCTTATTTCCGCTTCAAATTTATTATCAGCTACTCCCATTGAACTTTTCCATCCTTGTTTTTTGATGGAGAATACTGCTCCATCCATAAAGTCCTTCAACCATCCAATCGCCTCTTCAACTACTAAGATGGTAGCTCTCTTTCCTCCCTAATTTTTAAAATCCACCTTCCATTGATTTTGTCTTCTCCAACAGAATTTCTTAGCTTCGATATCCGTCTATCTCCTCCATTTCACTGTTGAGGAGAGCTCTTCTTCCATTTCTCTCCTCCATCTAATAGAATCACCTACACAAAGAAATCTCTTGATCCTTCTCTGCTGATTGAACAACAGGCAAGGCTTGGTGATGTCATTGGTCATATATGCGAATAGACGGCCTTCTACCACTAAGAAGACTATATTTTGATCAAGGAAAATATTAGAGTTTTTTTCTTTTGGAAACATTGAATTATACTAATTAATGAAAAGATGATAATTATGATCACAACACACCAAGCATTCCAAACTTATGGGTGAGACCCTGCTAGATTTTAGACTTTTTTGTAATAATTTGAAGGGCAATTGAATCTTTTGGGTGCTTTTTTTTTAGAATTTTTGATAGGAAAATATGAGAAAATCCGGTCTGCAATTCCTACAAAGCAACCACAGGAGTAGAATTAAAGCCTCTTCTTGCCCTATCCTTTTAACCTTCTAAACTTACCAACTTGCCCTTATCCCTTCCTGATCTTTCATCTTCATCCCTGATTTCCCTCCTCCCTCAACTCGCCTCAACCTGTCCTTCTTCCCCACCCCCCTGTATCCTCTAATCTTCAATTAAAGAAACCCTATTAGCTCTCTCTTCCCCTAGTGATTTTGTGAAGGGAAACATAGGGTCTGTTCCTTCAGGCACAACCCTCAATTCAAAATGCTTTCCTGCATGAGATAAGTCAATTCTTGCAGTGATCAGACTGAGGTCTTCAACTTCAATCAGTATTCTTGCAAACTGAACCTGAAACCGCAGTTTATTGTGAAAATCAAATCTCTCAAATTTCCCGTAAGTGTCACCAATCAATCTAAATGTTTGGGTACTCCACGCATGTAGTGGAATTCCAAAAACATTTATCCAAACAAATGATTTTCTTTTGAAGACTTCACTTGCCCAACCTCTGGCACCTATCTATCAAGGGGAGGCCTGGATCTTACTAGCCACTGCTTCAACAAACAACCCAAATATGTGTGTGCATGTCCCAGCACACCAAAGTAAATCAAACTATGATAGATAAATCCCACTACAACTCAGCCCACCAAACCCCACCAACCTATCAGTCATATAAACCAAGAAAATCCATAAGAACAAGTTGTTTCACTCCAGGAGCCAAGGGTGTCAAGGCCTTAGCCTCTCCAATATGATGCCTCAACTGCCAAGGGCTGAAATACTTTTTTCTTATCAGTAAAAAGAAATTTTACTAATGAAGCTTGAAGATTACAGAAGTGTCTTAAAGCCCCTTGGTTTGCTAGAGTATCTGCCATTCCATTTGCTGTTCTTCTTACCCATTTGAAAGACACATTTAAGCTCTCAATCTCTCAAAATTTGTATCAGAAAACCCAAGGGATTTGGGTATTGCATCTTGTCCAGGAAATGACCACCTGAGAATCCCCTTCCACTTCTAGATTGTGGAACCCAAATTGTTTGGCAAGTTTTAATCCCTGCAATAAGCTTCCCATTTCTGCTGTCAGTGCGTCCCCATGCTCCAAAGGACCTGAATACAAGGCCACCACTCTTCCTTCTCAATTCCTGAAGACTCCCCCTATTCCAGCCAATCCCGTGTTGCCAATGAAGCTCCCATCAAAGTTGAGCTTTATGAAGTTAGATGTCTCTTCGGAGACATCAGATAAATTGCATTACTATTTTTCTGTCCAAAAGTTAGTTGAGGTTGTTCTCCTAGGTTTCTATTCAAGTTATGAAAAAAGATTCACCTTATAGGTGTTTTGCTATAAACCAAACATCAAAGAATATGAATTGTCCTTCAAATAAATCCTCCAATTTGACAGAAAACCAAATAATGCATTTTTTTCCTCTGTACTTGGATGCCAGAAGTTCAAGCCATACCTCACAACAGAGAAAAAGATATTAAATGTCTCCAAAACTAAATCCTCACAACCAATGTCCAACATTAACACACAACATTTGAGTGCAGCAACAGTCTCCAATATTCTGACCCTCCTTGTGAAATATGGGCTTGTGGTATCTGATAGCTCCACAAACGTACTGACAATAAGCTTAAAAATGTCCTGAATCAAAACCAAAAACGTTGTGTAAATATATCTTGGGATACACAACAAGAATAGATATGAAGAAGGTTAAGCAAGCAACATGAATCAAAATATGACCCATTACCCTTAATGTTTCATCACTATAATGTGGATCAGGAGCCAAGACACGAATAATTTCACTGAAACATGTGGCTACAAGAAGTCTAATGTCTCTATCCTTATGCTGAAGCAGGCTCTTCTGGACAAGAAAATCACTTAAAGGCTCTATTGCATGCTGCAGTGACGAAGACTGACTTAATTCTGATAAAGCACTCGCAGCTTGCTACAAAAAAATAAATAAATAAAGTAATTAGAATAAGTAATAGACAACCTGTTAACAACATCAATGCAGCCTCTTAAAACATCAAGCAACAGTTCTAATCATATACAACACCATACTCATTTTTGCGTACTTCATTCACACAAACTTTAAGAACCAAGCATGTGAAGCCTACTATGTATGTGTCAAGACAGTAGTGGAATAACAGTGACTTCTGTTCCTGGTGACCACCAATATTCACAAGGAGATTTCATAGTTTTCTCCCCATAAGAAATGTTTGGAGCCATAATGACTAAAACCAAACATAAGCTTCCAATTTTCCCCTTTTCAGTAATTCTGGATTGATTTGTGCAAATTAGTAAAAAGCCCATCATCTGCCAGTTGGTTTGGAAAAGACCTACCATCATGTGGAATGAAATTTTCTGGAAGGCATGTTGAGCAGAGTAACATCAAAGGACTGTAAATTCATCCGCACACGCAAAAAAGAAAGAAAGAAAGAACATAACATTCAAGAAGAAGCAGAATAGCAAGAGAAGCAAGAGAAGACTGACTGCAAATGACTTCATAAAACCCCATATATACACTCTCTAGGGAGATTCTAGACATACATTACTGTTGTGTTTCCTAGGTCCAGATGCATTCTTTAGTAGCTAAGTATTACCTTGGAAACATCACAAAACTCATTCAAAGAATTGGAAGATGACTACATCTTCTAAGTCATTAATCATATATGAGACTTACAGATTTATTCTGATTTCTAGACCTGACCCTTGACCCAACAAACTTCTTTAAAGGTTTAGAAGGCATACATGCTAAGACATGCATTAAGTGATCTGGCTTTTATTTAACATCCCCATTTTGATGTAAATCTTTAAATAAGATTCCTATTTCACCCCTAGATGTCAAAAGACAAAACACCCTTTTAAATGATTTGCATCAATCCCTCCTTAGAACTCAAGCTTGAGTTTTAATGATCTTAAGCATCAAGAAAAAGTTTGACTGTCTCAGACCTCTTTTTCCTCAATTCAACCATCCTGCCTCTACTAGTTGCTTGAATGTTGATATTCTATCACCTTAATATGCATGTAAGATCACTTCAAACTTCATAATGCCCTCCCATCTAAGAATAAAATTTCTTTGGAGGTTGAATTGAACATTTGGACATGTAATCCGTAATGTTTTCAGAATACAATCTCATCACTCTAGGTTCTGGTAGTAGCTTTTGCAATTAGAAATACTCCCATGAAAATCAATAAAAATGATCAACATTATCTTTGAAAAATCCTTTGGGAACTTCTATAAGAAAGGATCTTCATAGGCTTCTTGTTTTAAAAGCGCAAGGCGCAAAAAAAGCACAAGGGCCAATTTGCGCCTGAGGCGCATGCCTTTTTAAGCTAGGCGCGAAATTACAAAAAAAAAAAACAAAAGCTAAAAAATCAAAAAAAAAGTCAGAAATTTCAAAAAAAATTAAAAAATGCAAAAAAATCAAAAAATATTAAACATAATGTTAATAAAAAATAATAAACTTAAATTTTAAAATAAATGTTTAAAAAAAACCTATTATCTAAGATTAATATACATAAACATAACATGTAAAACGTATTCAAATGAAAATTTAAAAATAAAAGCAAACATATAAAGCATTTTCAAGCATGTAAAACCCACAATCTCTTTTTTTCCTTAACTGCATTGCTTCAAGTAGCTAATGTGATGTAAAACATATTGCATTCTTGATTCTATATGAGTCGCCTTTGTACCACGCCCCTCGAGGCAAGCCCAAACAAGTCTATGTTAGGGTCTGAAATTCTTATTCCTCACATAAAAAATAATGACTTTATAACTTTCATTACCTTTTAAGAAGATATTTTATTGCAATGAATGAATGAACAAGCGGAGTAAAACCCCTATTTGCCAATGTTGTTCATTCATTCATTGCAATAAAATATCTTCTTAAAAGGTAATGAAAGTTATAAAATCATTATTTTTTATGTGAGAAATAAGAATTTCAGACCCTAACATAGACTTGTTCGGGCTTGCCTCGAGGGGCATGGTCAGGGGTCCCTCGCCCAGTCGTTAGATTCAAAAAAAAAAAAAAGAAAAAAAGCAAAAAGCGCAAAATTTTAAAAAGGCGCATGCCTGGGCTGAGGCACAAGACGCATCAGGCGCATGCCTAGGCGCACCAGACGTGCACCTTTTGAAAGGGGTGTGCCTAGGACCTGGGCGAGGTGCATACCCCAAAATGTGCCTCGCATGTGCACCTAGGTGTGCCTTTTAAATCACTAGGTGATCACCCTTGCCAGTTGCTTTGCTTGTCTCAAAATGTGCATGCCTAGGCACACCAGACATGCACCTTTTGAAAGGGGTGTGCCTAGGACCTGGGCGAGGTGCATACCCCAAAATGCGCTTCACCTATGTGCCTAGGCAAGCCTTTTAAATCACTCGGTGGTCGCCCTTGCCAGTACTATGTTTCAGCCGTCACACCACTGTTTTAGAGTCACCTTCTACCATTTGGAATTTTATTTTACAAGTAAAAACAAAAACTTTTGCAGTTTTCAACAGAACTCTTGCTGAATAATTCAAGGGTCAATCATTATCATGGTTTTTAAACCGTCATTGACTTGGATGGTCAGACCATTCGGCCCGGGAACCATCCAGGAAACCGTTTCTGTTTTACCCCAAACCCGGTCCCTGGCCAAAAACCGTTGAAAAACTCAACAACCCGTTGACCCAGGCGATCAAACCGTCAACCCATCGACCTGTTCAACAATTTTTGGTCATTTTTATTTCTAATTGTTTTTTATTCTTTTAATTCTTTTGTCAGAACGGGCCGTCCATTCGAACCGAATAGTCGGACCATCAACTCGAAAACCAGTGGCCATAACGGTTCCGTTTTCGGGTCGTTTTTTAAAACCATGATTATTATACCTTTCTATCACCAACTTTTTTCTGTGAACTTTGCAATTTCATCCCTGAGTGGATCTCTATGATGGTTTACTCCCAACTTCACCCTAGGCTGTAATTCTTCACAATAAAGTTTGATCATTTTGTCTAAGAAGACATCCAAGTGTTGCTTATACCTATCCATAACATGTACTCTTGGCTCTTTATCCACTAATAATTGCATATGATGAACCAAAGATCCCAGATAGTTGATACTTCTTAACCAATGTGTGTACTCTCTAGTAAGTAAATTGATAGATGAGAGGATGCCATCTAACCCACCCCCCTCGAAGTCACATCAAAAAGACAAGAGAAGCAATATTGAAAACACCATACATTTTGGAGGGGACTCACAAGTTGACACGTGCCCAAGAGCCAACTTGTATCCAACTCTCCAAAATGCATGTGGAACTACATTATGAATCAGGTGGATTTACCAAAGTGCGCACTGCATCAACTCTCCAAAATTACAAATCATCACTTTGAACGCCTCTATGTAACAGTTGTTCAACCATTTGAACTTCCCAAAAGGGGACTCTGATATTTTATTATTCCAATTTAGACATAATACTGTGACCCATTGTTTATTGGATCTGTTCCAGTTAGCAAGTAGGCAAAGGCTGTCAGTCTAACACATATTACTGTGACAAGTCAAGCACATAGAGAGACATTTGATTCCAAGAAATCTAGCAATATATATTACTAATTAGAAACACAAAATACAGACTCCATTTATACAATGGCACAGAATAAAAGGTAACGATTAAGAGAGATGCAACAAAAAAAGATGGGGCGTTCTTAGATCAAGTTCCTTGGTTAAATTGACAAAAACCCATTGGAAAACATGAAAAATCAACGAACACGTCCCCAGAACAACCATATTCATCAAGAGCCATGATACTATCATCGACGTGGTGCCGTTTTCGAGTCAGAAACAAAGTTTAACCAAGAAATTGACACAATTAAACAATAGTACTGAAAGGTAACGGAGAGAAATTTCACTTACTCTGAGCAATTTCACCAGAAAATCTTTATTCGGGCGAGTCTGCTGAGCAAGGCGCTTGCCAATATCAGATACAACCTTCTCTGCAGAAACCATTGCTAAGCACACTTAGGTTTCTCTTGCCATGTAAACATCGGAATAGGGTTCTATTTAGATTGTTCGAAGTTTGACTACTTTGGAGTGGAGCTGCTTCTGTGAGAGAAACTAAAGTTACTCAAACAGCACCAGAAGAGAGAGAACGAGAGAAAGGGGGGAGGGGTTAAAGCGGTAGGTTTCCCGCCTGTAGATTGTAGTTGGAGGCTTGGAACGCGCGGGCACGCGCAACACCTCTCTCTCTCTCTCTGACTCTGACTCTGACTCTCTCTCACGTGACAGGAGATGCCCGTTTGAAGAAACTTGGAACGTTGTAGGGCTGTTCAATGGAATCCGACATTCCGGAACCCCAATCCGATATCCTATCCAATTATTTTACATTCGGATGATCCATTTATATATATATATATACCAAATTTGTAATTAATAAATCCAATATATCATATTCATCTCTAAATTTATTTTTTACAAGTCCGACCATATTCAAATCTAATCCGAACTCCCTAGATCAGATTTCAGTCTTCAGATTCGGATTCGAGTTTTTAATGGCTGGATCTGTCGGATATGGCTATTATGATCTGAACCGACCTGGTTGCAGCTTTGTTAACTCGCCAGGTGGTAGAGGTGTCAATTGGACTGGATTTGGTCCAATCCGATTCAGTTCAATGTGAGTCCATTATAAATGGATCAGGTCTAGTCCAATCTAATGAATGTTTTGGATCAATTGGACTGGTCCAATTCAATGTCTAGACCATCCAATCTGTTTAAATTCATTTTGATTTAGATTGATTTCAACCCAAATCCAATTCATTGACACATATATTCTTATCTTATATCAATGGACTAGATATTGGCTTAAACCAATCCAATCCAATATAAATTTGTTATGGACAGACTAGGTCCAATCCAATATGTCTTGTTGGTCTGTCCAATCCATCCAAATTGATTTTAGGGTCCAATCCAAAATCAGTCCATTGACACTCTTACCAGGTGGTGCATATAAGGGATGAGCAAATAGGTAGGTTCTACTCGGAATCAAATGGAACCAATCTTGGTTGGTCTTGATGGAATTGATTTTGGTGGAACCTACCTTAGAACCGAATTTGTCTTGAAATAAACCCCAAAATACTTTTGATGATGTGAAGATATAATCCAAACACTCATGATTACAAAGGTCATGATCTCACTAGATCATTGAGTTACTTAAATTATATGATCATTTCTTTTCATTTTAATATTTGAATGTGTATAATAAGTAATGTAAAAGGTAATATTTACAAAATTTAAATTTAAAGCATAAGTTTTAAACTATATAATGATAATCTACATATTAAATTATTCAATTTAATCAATAAAGATAATATAAGTTCTAAACTATATATTATATTTATTGAAAATCAAGTTTTCAAAGAACATGTTTTTTTTTCTTTTTTTTTTGAAAGATGAGGAGTAAGGAAAGAACATGTTCCACGGGTAGACCTTGGAACCGGCCCCAGAACCACCAAGGCCGAAACCAACCATCACAGGATAGATTCCAGTCCCAAAAACATAGAACCAAACTCTATAGGGTAGATTCCAAATTTTGCCATGAAACCCAATTGAAACGACCCATGCTTACCCCTAGTACATATTGGATGACTAAAGAATTCATTGTCCACATAAAATTATGCAAAATATGAGAACATGGGAAGTTTAAGTTAAAATCGAGGATGAAATAAACACGCCACACCACCCCATGCATAGCGTGTTCGTTTCATCCTAATACACGTTTGGTATGGATGAATGCTATTAAGCATTATAGGAAAAATTATATTTGAATCATAAATCCAGATTCAGCACTCACATAATTTATACTCACACCATCCTCACAACACTTATAGCCCGGGAACATGTTCCCATGTATGAAAAATGTAAGTAGATGTTCCAAATGCACTGCTATATAAGTGTGGTGCAACGGTGTGAGTGCAAATTTTGTGAGGATTGACTCCCATCCCCTTGAATCATGTCTGTAACTTGCCATGTAATAAGCTGATTAAACGTCACATTATTTGAACTACAACAACTCCAAGAGCTGTTGGAGGAAACAACTTTTTGATGTTTCAGCTTATTTAAGGGATGATTCCATCATAATCCATGCACATGTGATACCACCTGATATATAATTTTTTTTAAAATCCAATATTATCCTTTTATAGTCAATTTGCCCTTTATTATTCTTCAAATTAAAAACTTAACATCCTTGTATAAGCATGATGCACATCAGATGGTGTACCCACCATGAAACGCAAAGCTGTGAAATGCCGGTGCCGTTGTCAAACAGTAGAGAGGCATGGGTATGACCGCTTTCTGCCCCTTCTTCTTCCACAAGTCTCCAAACATCCGGATCCCAAAACACTTCATCTTCCCACTTCCAAATCCATCATTTGAATCATCTGCCAGCATTAGAGACCCCACAAATCCAGTGTACCCACCAGCTGTTTCAAGCCCACCATCACCGAGATACTTTTCCATGGAGCTAGCCATATTCAAAATGTAATTAAATCAGAACAAAAGCTAGCGTTTTAATTTTCACAGCAATATTCTCTAATAAAAACTTAAACATACAGTAGCAGTTAGCTGCTAGCGTGGATGAAAATGCTTATCAGACAGGCCCTTCAAGTTCATGGCAAAGATTTAAATGCCAACTGCTAATCAAATGCTATGACTTGTAATATGCTCAACCTCCTTATCCAGTTACCCTTTTATCACTTCTCACATACTGATTTGATTCAGATCCATAAAAATCTTTAGCCTCTAGGATTAGAGTTTATATATTAACAATAACTTCGCTAAGTTTTTTTTTTCCCTCTAAGAAGGTTGAGTCGTTGAAAGTTGGTTATAATTAGGATTTGTATTATGTGTTAACTACTAGAAGAGTGGTTCAGATTTCTGAGACGTGGTACCCATATGAAGGGTTGATACTGAGACCCAAAATTGAAGAAGAAACAGAGACAAGGAGTTGAGTTGTGGCTATTCAAGTTTTAGGGGGAAGAGAGCTAGAATGGAGGACTTGTATGATGTTAAAATGTCAAAGATTGGTGGGAAAACAAATTGTTTGCTTGGGATATTTGATCGTCATGGTGGTTCTCATGCTGTTGAGTTTTTGAAGGAACGCCTTTTTGAGAATCTCACGAGGCATCTACAATTAATAACTAATACCAAATTGACTATAAGTGAAACATATCAAAAGACTGATATAGACTTCTTGGAAGCTCAAAGCAATATTTGCAAGGATGATAGTTATACAATCTCAGCATCAGTTTTGGTTGGCAGCCATTTATATGTTGGAGATTCACGAGCAGTTGCATCAAAAGAAGGAAAAGATATACCTCTATCTAAAGATCATAAACCAAATTGAATTGATGAGCAGAAGAGAATTGAAAGTACTGGAGGGGTTGTTATGTGAGCAAGAACATGGAGAGTTGGAGGGGTGTTGGCAATGTCCCAAGCTTTTGGTGACCTCTCATTGAAGCAGTTTGTAGTGGTAGAACTGGAGATTCAGGAACAAGAGATAGATGATAAATTTTAACGAAGAGCAGTTTCAGTGATTGAAATCGCTTAGGCTCAGTTTGGAAGGAGTATAAATACAAATATGTAGAGTACAAAACCTTGTATTTTGTATTATTTTCTATAGTACTCTGCATATTTGTATTTATATTCCTTCCAAATGGAGCCTTAATCATCACTTTGGACTCTTGCATATCTGAAATCGGAGAGTTTGTTTTTCTGGGTTTAAAATTTGAACCCTTGCAAACTTGAAAGTTTGTATATATATATATATATATATATGGGGAATCAATGGATGAATGACGATGACATGGTGGCCTCCCTCCCCAACTCCTCCTATTCCGTTGATGTTTAATACTAATAAATATAAGTGAATGTTTAAACTGTATTTTATTAATTTCTGGAAATGTTTTATTTTGAAAATTTAAAGAAGAATAATGAGTAAAATAGTTTTTTTCATCTTTGCGTTAATAAATGTTAACAGTAAGAGGATTTAGTCAATTGTCATAAAACTTGGGGTACTTTAAGTCAATTTCCAAACAATTAGGGTGAGCATGGGTTGATTAAGTTTGGTTCGAATGCATAACTTAAAACCTACCCTGTAGCTGTAGGGGTTGGTTACAGGTTTTTGGAACCTTGGAACCAAAACCTGCCCTGTCAAGATTAGTTAAATTAAAAAAAAAAAAACTATTCTTTAAAAAACATTTAACAACATTAAGAATCACATTTTAGATAGCCATATATGTTATCGGGTTTAATAGATTCTTTTTTTTTTTTTTGTTAAGTATATAGTACTATATGTCAAGTAACACTTTTTAGTGTAAATTACAAAAAAAAAAAAACCCTCTTGTACTATGGGATTAGAGACAATTACATCCCTAAACTTTCACTTTGCGAGAAATGCCCCCTACCCATTAACTCAGATGATAAACTACATTAAATTTCCAAAATACCCACCTAAACTTTTCTTATTTCTTTTCCTTGCCCATTTTCTCTTAAACCTTAATTGACACAAAAATATCTCCATGTTCTCTAAATGCAACCAGGTAAAATAATAAGAATCATTTCATTGACATAGGAAAACATGTTTATTTAAATATGTTTCTTTTAGATACATGGAGAAAATTACTAGAAAAAACTCAAAATATATGGATAAAAATGCACCTCCTTTATATTAATCCACTAAGACCCTTAGAAACTCAAGTTCATTACACAAAACTGCAACAACAATTTTAGTTCGGAGTTCATCATAATTCAAAAATCCAACAAAAACAATCCACTCAAACTTGAAAATGAATATCTCTCTCCATCTTAAAACATAGAAATGATCCACTCTTTTCTCCAATAAACCAAGAAAACCAAATGAAACCTTAAATTCCTATCTATCATAACTAATTGTTGACCCTATATGTTTTGATGATAGCAAACTCATTGAGAGTACTAACAATGTGGAAAAATAAGTGTGTAGTTGCAGAAAATGAATCATTACTTGAACTCAAATAACATGATGAAACAAATGATAACTTGAGGCATAAATGAGCAACTAAAGCGAAATGATGGATTGAACACTCTCCAAGTCATAAAAAGAAAAGAAATAAATGCTATAATGATAACAAGAAGAAGAAGAAGATATCAAGCTCTAGTGGTTTCCATTTGTTTTATTTAATTAGGACTTGATGTAATCATT